CCTCCAGGCTCAGGCCTGGGTGCAAGAGGTCATGCTGGTGGCCCCGAGTAGAGCCCCCAGGCTCACAGGAGAAACCTTGGGGAGCAGAGGGGCACCTGGGTGGTTCAGTCAGTTAAGCGTCTGCCTTCAGCTCAGGTCATGATCTCAGGGTCCTGGGATCGAACCCCACATCAGGCTAGTGGGGAGTCTACTTCGCCCTCTCCCTGTGCCCCTCCCCTGGCTCCTGTTCTCTCTCTCTCTCAAATAAATAAATAAAATCTTTAAAGAAAAAGAAAGAAACCTTGGGAAGCAGAGAAAAGTAGATGGAAGAAGAAAGTGTTGCCTGTAACTTACTCCTGATCTCTGACAGCCTAGTGGATAGTTGTCTAGTCTTTTCTTTCTGCAACCCAGAGTTAGAGCAGAACTCTTCCAACAATTTTTATTCCTGTGGGGTTTTTTTTTTTCCAATTAATTTGTAAGTTTGTCTTTGTGTGACTTTAAGCGCTTCTCAGGTATCACTTCATCTCCCAGAATATTTTGCCACAGCAAATGCACGCCGTCCTATCCTGACTGCCCTCCTGTGGATCCCTGCACCCTTGTAACTTCATAGGCCTCAGTGGTGCACCCAGACCTTGGCACCAAGTCGCCTCACCGAGCCCAGCTCTGCCTCTGCAGACCTGTGTGGCCTGGGGCCAGTTACTGGCCCGGGCCTCGGCGTCTTCCACACTGTGCTGTGAGGGCTAAGTGCCTGCATGCGTGGGGACATCTGTGTGTACAAATCTCAGTTTCCTTGTTAAGACTGAATGCCTAGGATGGGTTGCTGGGTCCACGCAGTGACCACCATGGGAGATTCATAGCCGGTGCTTATTCCTTGGTAGTATTCTTCTAGCCCCTCCTCTGAGCCAGGGATCATTCTAGGTGTTGGGCCTCCAGCCGTGCGTAGAGAGACAAAATCCCTGCCATGGTAGAACTTGTATTTTGTCAGGGACAGACGACAGACATCAGAATGAGGAACTTACAGCGGTGTGTTGGAAGGTGGTAATAGCTTGGAAAAAATAGAGCTGGGTAGGAGGGGTCGGGGCAGTGGGGGTGAAGGTGGTCAGGAAGGCCTCACCGGGAGGTGACATTTGCACAGCGATTAGGAGGTGGAACTGGGAGCCAGTGGAACTCCTGGGGCGGATCTTTCAGCGGAAGAACCAGTGAATGCCAAGGCCCTGAGGTGGGAATGCACCTGGTATATTGGGGTGAGGGGAACAAACCGTTCAGAGACGGGCCAGGTCACGTGGGAGGAGAGGGATGCAGGAGTCAGAGGCCAGGAGCTCCAAGCATGCTCCCCAGGTCAGGGGCCATCCCGGGAGGGGCAACACATAGCTGCCCAACCTATGTGGCCTACCAGAGGGTGCTTCAGAGGGAGGTCCCTAAGAGAGGATGGTAGCTCCATGAGAGCAGGATGGTCCTGCTTGCCTCTGTGTCCCCGGGGCCTACAGGAAGGAAGTGTCAGGAGCCCTGGTGGACGCCAGGCAGGTGGACAGTTGGCATTTGGCCGCCTCCCTCACCACTCTGAGTCCCCCAAGGTCTCTAGGACCCTCCCTGGTTTGGGCCCCAAAGAAACGGGCACACAGGTTGCATTACATGGACGTGGTAAGCTGCGGTCTCCCTGCAGCCCTCCCAGCACGCAGCTGCACGTCCTCAAGCATCATGCTCATGCCCCCCCTCCCACCCCCCTGGCCTGCCAGAACTGGGCACTCAGATTCCCTTTGCCTGCAGACCCTTGCCCAGGATCTCCGTGCAGCCAGTCCCTGTCACCTGGACCTCCCCCTGCAGAACTCCATTCAGAACTCTTCCTCAGAAAAGCCAGCCCTGGGCACATACAACCTGGCCGCCCTCCCCTCCTGGTGACACAGCAGTTTTGCTTCCTTGATCGCCTTGGTGGCTATCTGGATTATCTTGCTGGCCTATCTTCTCTCTGCCCCTTCTCAGACTCGTAAACTCCATGGGGGCCAGGCCCTGGTCTGCATGTTCACCACCATTGTTTCCAGTCCTGGAGCACTGTGTGAATGTTTTCCAGGGAAGGACACAGGGGCAGGTTGGGAGAAGCTCAGCGTGGGCAGCTGCTCCAACCCCTGACATCTTGAGCTGCGCTTCACTTCCCTTCATTGGCTGTCTGGCTAAGGGGGAGAAAGGCCAGTGTAAAACAGAGCGGCTCCCAGGGACATTTGCTCCAAATCCACAGCTTCACCCATTGGTGAGGCTTTCTGGGCGTTGTGTCCAGGCCACCCCCAAACGGAGCGGAGGAAAATGAGCCTGACCATCTCAGAAGAGCAATTAAATGGCCACATCTTCTCCAGTGCCAGAGAGATTTTCTGGGTCTGCCTGCTTTGGGCAGTGTGAGGTATGCACCGTGTGTAATGGGAGCCAGCGCGGGCGAGATGGACTGCCGATTGGGCCACGCCTGTCTCCCCGGCCCGGCGCAGACGCCGGGGAGCCCCGCGCCTCTTCAGCCATCAGACCTCCTGGCACCAGAGGGAGACAGGCTGCCCATGCCATTTGTCAGGGTCTGGTGCCAGCCACCTTCTCTGTTTGCAGAAAGGAGGCCGGGGCTCCGATTCAGGGAGGCAGATACCTGTGGGCCTGGCGCTAGCTTAGGGGCCTGGCCCAGGGCCATTCCCACGCCCCATCCCAGAAGTACGCTGACCGGCTGGGTGTGGGGCCTGCGAGCAGACACCGTGCTGCCCAGCCGGAGGACGGCTCCCGTTGGTACGGGTCCCGCAGGCCCCTAGCATCCCAGAGCCCCATTCACATCAGCTGCGAGTCCGGCCTTCCTGGGGCGTGCAGGCTTTGAGAGGCCAGGAGTCTCACCTCTGCCTGTGGAAGGGAGACCGAGTCCTTCTTAGAGGACCATCCCTGGCCAACTCTCCAGTGTGCCTTAAAGCAACCTCCTGGTCACCTTTCTAAACATCCAGGGTGCTCTCACAGCAGGGTCGTCTCCAGGAGTCTGCCAAAGGTGGACCCCCACCGAGTGATGGGCTGGGGAGCAGTAACCTGCATTGGCCAGCAGGTGCAAGCCCAGAGTTCAAACCCTCGCTCTTCCTGACTCACTGTGGGGCCTGGATGGAGTCCGTGCCCTCCTTGGGGCTCCGATTTCTCCTCTGTAAGATGAAGGGGTTGCTTCAGCAAACATGCATGTGTGCTTGGTCTAAGCAGAATAATCCACACACCCTGCCGCCCAGAGCTCCCCACCTGGTGGAGACATGATGAGCAAAGGTCATCCTGGCCACTGAAGCTTGACATCAGAGCGTCACATCTGGGTTCTCAGGGAGACCGCTAACACCCGGCCAATCTTGGGGCAAAGGAGGATGCCCTTTAGGCCCTGGCAGACACAGATCAGGGTGCACCAGGGCATGCAGGGAAGGGAGCCCTCTGCCTGACGCCTACCCCCAGCTTCCTGCCAGCTTTGGACTCAGCCTCTAGGTCCACTGGCCAATACAGCCCCTCTGTGCATATTGGAAGGAAGTGGGGGGACACAGGCCGGCCAGGACCCCTCTTGGCAAGCACAGTGTGGGTTGGGCTCCACCTCACTTGCCCCTTGCCAGGGAATGAAGGCTGTGTACCCAGCTCTCCCAGTAGTCACTCCCGGAGCTGCCACTCACTGGGCCTTCTTGCCCCATGCAAGTCTCACGGCGCCCCCTCTGCTCCGCCCCCCCGCCACACAGCCTTGCCAGCTTGCTCCCACCAGGTTCCCTCAGCAGGGCTGTGAGCAGCCTATTCCAGAGTTCTCTGCTTGTACAGAGCTGGTCTGAGGCCTGGCCACAGCCTTGGGGGAGCCAGAGCCTCCCCATCCATGCTCAAAGCAGCCGAGAGCTCACCCTGGCCAGCAGCCCCCAAAGACGCTGCACCATGTTGCTACCAAGCAGTTTCCTTATAAAGACAAGCCCCAGAGAAAGCCTGGTGCTCAAAGAAGAGTGAGACTTCTAACATTGGCAAGGCAGGGAAGGGCATTCCAGGCAGAGGGGACAGCCCATGCAGAGGCTCATAAGTGTGACTGTAGGGAGCCCAGGACTGGCCACGTGTTCCTCAAGGCAGCAGGGAACACACAAAAGCAATGGGTGAAGGGGCCTGGAGAGTTAGGGTTGGCCTTAGGGTCTTAGCAGGAAACTGATTTCCACTCAATCATTTGGCTGGAGAGGGTGAATAGAAAGTCTATATACTGAACATAGTGGAGGAAGTGAACAGAGGGTGGATGTTTAAAGGAGCCAGTAAGATGTGATGGAAACCAGTGGGGGCCGCTCTCACCCCTGCATGGGGGTGGAGGGACCGCATTTGCAAAAGCCCAGGGAGAAGGCTCCCCAACAGGAGGTCCAGCCTTAGGGAACAGAAATCAACACCCCAGCTGCTCTCTCCTCCCACCCTCTGATCTGCTGGGGCTCCCATTGGCTGAACCCAACCAGAAGCCAGAGGGCACAGGAGCCCATATGCTGTCTGCAGAGGTCAGCCTCCCAAGCACACAGAGGAGCAGAGAGTGGATCTTCAGGGGCAATTGGAGAACACCTAGCCCAGGGAGCCTCAGATGTCAAGTTTCAGTGTATGTGTTTTAGCGTGAGTGTTCTGGGAAACAACAGGACCATTTAGAGCAGAAGAACGTGGCCACCAAGTGTGGGGCTGAGCCGCACAGGAGCCTGAGTGCAGAGTGGATGGGTGGGCAGTGGACTGGGAGACGGAGGTGAGGAGCCCTGCTGAGCTCCAAGCTGGACAGGCCCATGACTAGCATGGTGGGGGAGGGGCTGGAATGTAGGGATTTAGGTGGCAGAGTGGACCCTAGGCCTCAGGGGCCCATTGGCTGGGGAAGGAGGCAGAAGAGGGTGAGCCCAGGTAGCACTGGGGTCCTAGCTCAGCCTAAGAGAGTGTGAGGGATGGGCCTAGGAGACTCGGAAATGGGCCAGTACGAGTGGGTCCCCATCCAGGGTGGTGAGTGCACAGGCTAGGGAGTGGCGGAGTAACAGGCTCTCCTTCTGTGCTCGCAGGCGGCCTCAGCCCCGAGTCCAAGAAGATTCTAACACCCACCCTCAAGAAGCGGGGCCGGGCCGGCCGAGGAGAAGCAGCCAAGCAGGAGGAGGTGGCCGAGCGGTCCGAGCCTGCGCAGCACGTGGCCCTCAGCCTGTCTTTCAAGCGTTACGTCTTTGACACCCACAAGCGCATGGTCCAGTCTCCCTGAGTGTTCCAGTGACCTTGCCCAGGCCCCGGGCTGGGCTGCATTGCCAAGTGTCCGACCAGATGTGCCTCAACCTCCTTTAGTATGTCCCTCCCCACGACCCTGCAGACACAGGCCCTAGGCCTGGCGCTAAGCCCCGGTGAAAAGCCTGGGGTTGCGGTGGCAGTGACACCAGGGCTGGGGCCCAGAGGGTCTGTCCCGGCACCCTCGCACCTACTAGGGGCCAGTGTTTCCCAGGCCGCCCAACTGGCAGCCATGGGAGGGCCAGTCCACACCCTGCCCCAGGTGGCCTGGCACTTAACCAGCTACAAATAAATGTCCCACGGTGTCTGCCCACTCTGTTGGTCTCTGTGATTTCAGCGGGAGGGGCCCCCCATGCCTGTTCCCAAGGGGAATGTCAAGGGGTTCAGCAGGGTTCCCGCCCAGAGAAGAGCTGGAGAGACCAGAACTCAGAGCCCAGTGGGAGTGGGCTGAGGAGTCCACAGGGTGTCAGGCCCCTAGGCCAGGCTAGGTGGCCCATGGGGTCTCCTGGGCCTTGAGGGACATGGGGGCGGGGGTCTCTGGACAGCCAAGTCCAGAGAGGGCTCCGCCAGGAAGGGGACCCATGAAGTGCTGGGGAGCCATGAGGTGCCCGGCCAGGGCATCAAGACAGAGGCTGGCTGGAGGGATTGCTTCCCCGGCCCCACACGAGCAGTCCCTAGGCTTCTGCCCTCGAGTCTGGGGCCCATACTCCCCAAGGTGTGGAGGTGAGGGCAGGTGACAGAACACTGTGCAGAGCACCTTGTGGGCCAGGGACCGCGGGCACAGCCCCCTCCAAAGCCCAGGAAGCCCTACCCTTGCTCCTCCACCCTGGCCCACCCGCAGCCTGAGTTGTGGATGCTCAGAAAAGGGTGGGATGGCGAAACTAACTGAATGAGAGAAATCAAAACTTTGTAGGATGTACAGATGTTCCAGCGCTCCTTTATTTGGCCTCCAAACAGATGCAGAGGCTGCCCTTTCATCCTGGTGCGTTATGCTTTAATTTGCAAAAGTGGCATCAAAAGTATTAACGGTGGGGGGCGCCTGGGTGGCTCAGTCGGTTAAGCGTCTGCCTTCGGCTCAGGTCATGATCTCAGGGTCCTGGGATCGAGTCCTGCATCATCGGGCTCCCTGCTCAGCGGGACATCTGCTTCGCCCTCTCCCTCCGCCTGCTGCTCCCCCTGCTTGTGTGCTTTCTCTCTGTCAAATAAATAAATAAAATCTTAAAAACAAAGAAAGTATTAGTGGGACAGTAGCAGTCCAGTGACTTGGAGTGGTTCCGTCCTGGAGCTGAGGGCAGAGAGTGGCAGTGGGGGGCTGGGTAGGCAGCGCGAGTCCAGGCCCAGCCCCCACGTCCCCCTGGGCTGGGAATGAACTGGGAAGGGGCGCTGGGTGCTTTGAGCCGGCTGTCCCTTGGCCCCTTGGAGCCTCACGGCCGCCGCCTGGGGGGCCCTCTCCAGTGTCAGCAGTGGTACTTCTTGCCTGGCCCTGACCCCTCTGCAGACCGGGCTCCAGACCCGCTCTCATTTAGCCCCCACCCCCGTGGAACAGACCATCTCACCTGGGAGGTGGTGCCACGTGGCTGAAGCCACTCCAGGCCAGGGAGGCAGAAAGCTAGGTTTTCCCGCAGGGCTTCAGGGCACCCGTCCCAGGCTGGCCACCTCCTGCACCTCCTGTGGCTATCAACCCTTTGGAGTGGACACAGCTGGGAGGAGCTGGGCTCTCCCCAGGCCTTGCACCTTAGATGAGGAAACCCTCCAGCATCGTCCTCAATGTGTGGAGAACTGAGGCCAGAGCTGCTGGGTACTCCCCAGCCAGGCCGAGTCCTACCTGACCAAGGGATGTGAGGCTGACCCCTCCCTCCGGGCCCCTTCTGGGGGTCCCTGCCAGTTGAGATGGAGAGTCGCCCGGGCCTCAGGGGCAGGGCCCTGCCCTACCCTTGGGCATATCACTGTCCCTCTCTCCAAATGAGGGGTTATGTGACCCAGCAGAGCCCCCCACTCCCACCCCAGCAGGCATAGAGGGGTCACCAAGCAGGGACTAGTTCTGGGAGCAGATCCATGGGGGAGGGGAAACAGAGTGCACTCAAGCCACCGCCTGTTCATCCTGGCCCCTCTGCTTGTGTGATCTTGGGCAAGTCCCCTGACTCTGCCTCAGCGCCCCCATGTATAAAATGAGAACAAAAGTAGCTGCTTTGTGGGGTTGTTCGGGTACTGGGGCACCCTGCTGCCTGTCGTATTACCTGCAGCCCTGGAAGCAGGACCAGCAGACACGGTCTCACCACTTGGGAGGTGAGGGGCCCACAAACCCTTCAGGAGTGGTGCCGGCAGCCCCAGGGCCCAGCTCTGCTCCAAACTGGCCATTTTTCTAGGACCTCTGTGACATGCGCACATCCACCCATACCTTTCTCCCTGCCTCCCATCCCGCTTGCAGACAGGAGAGGAGGCGGACTCAGGCGGAGGACACTGAGGCACAGAGAAGAGGAGGAGCCGCCCAGTGTGTGACTCCCAGAAGCCTCAGGCCCCCCAGAGAGTGCAGGGCGACAGCCTGCTCGGGGAGAGGCCTCTATCAGGCCTGGCATCAGAAGAAACCCGAGCACCCATTAGCCGGGTTGGGCCAGGACACAGCCCTTGAAGGAGAATCGCGGCCAGGGTAGGTGGGCAGGGGTGGGGGCCAGCAGCGTCCAGGGGCATCCCACAGCAGTGTCCCCCTTCCCCTGGGTCCCCAGCCAGCTCTAGGTGCTATAGAAGAGAATGCAAGCCTCTTGCAGCCATCCTCACACACATCAACTTGCTGAACCTGCGCTTCTACCCGTAGGGGTGGTCTGGGAAGCATTGCCCCAACTGTAGATGTGGGAGGTGGTAGGGACTGGGGCTCGGCTGACCATAGCCCATTGCCTCAGATAGAGCTGGGACTTGAATCCAGGCTCTGCATGATTCCAGACATCCCCACGTCCCTTGCCTCAGGCCTTGGGTGTGTCCTTGGAAAGAGGTGACTTCTGGGGCCCTGCTTTGGGCAGAGGGATGGGGTGGGGGGCAAGGGGCAGCAGTGCCCCGCCCAACTCCCCCCCCGCCCCCCTGCCGCCTGCCCATACAGAATGAAGTCATGGGCAGGCATCCTGCCACGGGCTGGGGCAGGAGGGGCGGCCGTGATTGGCAGGCCCCCGACCAGCAGGGCTAATGCACCAGCAATGAGATAAGGCTTATCTGGAAATGTCCCTGGAATCGAGACTCTGATGGAAACAGGCTTCTGGGTTAATATATTTTTGATAGATAAAGTCTCGTAAACGGGAAGCCCTGGGGGCCCGGGGCAGAAGAAGGGGCAGCTTCTGTTCTCCCAGGCCTCCTGCCCTGCCCGTGCGTGTGTGGGTGTGTGTTTGGGCGTGGGTCTGTGTTCCAGGTATCTGTGGCTGTCGACAGCTGGGGTGTGCGTGGATCTTGGTGTCTTGGGTGTGTGTGTATCTCCGTGTGTGCTCAGGGAGGGCAGTCTGTCAGGCTGTGGCTCTCCGGTGTGTCTGTGTGGGAATGGGGTGAAGAAGAAGGGTATCAGGCCCAGTGTGCACAGGGTGGTGACACGTTTGTCCCTTGGGCCACAGGGGCTTGAGTCAGTGGGGCCTGGCTCCCAGGACCTGGTGGGATGGGAATGGGGCTCATTGCCCCCATTCTGGGGACCCAGAGGCCCCCTCAAGTTGAGCTAGGACCCTCTCAGTGCCAACTCACCCTCGGGTTGATCCAGGCCTCAGGCCTTCCCTGCCTCCTCTGCCTTTACCTGGGATTTAGCATTTCCGGCTCCCCTTCTGGAGACCAAGGCCAGTCCTGCTCACAGCCTCTCCACTCCTAGGTTAGCCATGTCGTCCTCCGTGGCCATGACAGGTGAGAAGAGGCCTCTCCCTGAGGGGCCACTGGGGCAAGGTCTTGAAGAGAGAGTAGGAGTCCACCAGGAGGAGGAGGGGTGCCATCCAGCAGAGGCTCGAGGAGAGCACTAGATAGGGCCTGTGTGAAGACGGATGAGGTCAAGGCTCCCTGGCTCCCCCCAGCCCCTGCCAGGCCTCCAGGAGCCTCCACACAGGCAGCCCTGATTCAAAAGAGTAATTAGCACTTGGCTGATAACAGAGTCGTGCCATTAATTAGCCGAGCTCAGCCAGCACCGGGGGCTTGATCGCGGGGAGGCAGCGGCCGGCAGCTAGGGGACGGTGGGGTGGGAGGTGCTTTGTGCTCCCTCGGGGAGCAGCTGACCCCAACCCTGGGCTCCTCTGTCTGTCCAAGCCCCATTCGCTTGCTGAGAGCCAGTGGTGGGGGCCAGGGAAGTAAAGGAGGCTACTGTGGAGGCAGGCTGAGTGGGGCCAGAGGCCTTGAAGCCTGCTGCCAGTCGTCTTGCCGGGTGTAGGCAGGGAGAGTGCATCAGATCTGGGCTTCAGGAGACCCCTCTGGCCCCAACATCATGCCAGTTCTGAATGTCCAGGGCCTGGAGGTCAGGGCCCCTCACCCTAGAGGGGCAGAGACCACAGGGTTGGAGGAAGGCTCGCAGGATTGGTTTTGGTTGTCAGTTGGCCGAGGAGCAGGGAAGGGGTGAGGCTGAGCCCTGGGAAGAAGAAAAGGGCTTCTGGGAAAGTTTGGGGATCCAGCGTAGGCGGGTGGAAACTGGGAACAGGGATAGATTTGGGAAGAGGCCCAAAGTTGGTCATTCCACATTTACTGAGCACCTCCCGTGTGCCGGGCCCTGGGGTCACAGCCCCCTGCTCCCTGGATGCAGTGGGGTGCGGGCAGCCTGGAGCCCACGCAGTGTGGCCTGTGACCCCTGCGCCTCGGCAGCCTCCTGTGTGCGGCGCAGCCATCAGGCAGGACAGGCTGCCCTGCGCCCCACCCCCCGCAGGGCCAGCAGGTCAGAGGTCATGCACCCCGGAGCTCCCCGTGTGCCCCACCACGAGGGATTTGCTCAATCCCCCCACGCCCTCCCATGTTATCACCATCACCGGGTCTGGTGAGGAGACAGCACAGCAGAGAGAAACGGCCACTTCCCGTGGCCACAGCTGGGGCTCCAGATAAAGGCCAGCTGGGAACCCAGGCTGACCTGGAGAGGCTGGGGCAAGGGGCCAGTTTCAGCCACCTGCCTGGCCCCTCCAGGGACACCCCCCAGACTCAGCCCTCAGCCTCCAGGCTTCCAGCACAGTCCCCAGCAGACAGGGCTAACTGCCACCCTGCTCTGCGGGGGGCCAAGCCTCTCCTCCCCTGACCTGCACACCCCCACTCCCTCCCCAGGTTGGGTCCTTTCAGCTCCCCGGGCCCAGCTGAGCCCCACCGAGCTAAGGAAGGTGGCCGGTGAGGGTGCCTGGGGCCGGGCCATTTGGGCTGGGGGAGACCGATGGTCCCTGCAGAAGCACATAGGCCGCCTGCCTCCCCGCGAGGTCCGCCTCCGCTCCCTCCAGCACCCCCTGTCTCCTGTCTCCGGGTCTCCGCATCCCTCTCTCTCCTCCCAGCTGCCACACCCCGAGGCCGGGGCCCTGAGCCTGCCCCGCACAAGCCCTGCTGGGCAGCCCGCTGAGGTGGGGCAGGTCGGAGGGGTGGGCTGGAAGTGCGGCTCCGTGGGCCGGTCCCTGCAAAGGGCACCAGTGGAGGTCGGGTCGCCCTCTCCTCGAATCCTTTCTCCCTGCCTGTCCACCCCAGTGTCTGCCCCCCCAAGTTGTGATCACACCTTCCCGTCCGCCCCCACCCTGCAGCCTCTGAGGGCCCCCTCCTGACCCCACCTCTTAAGTTCCCTCAGAGGCTGACAGGGCCCTGAGAGGCTCCTGGCTTGGAAGCAGAAAGGCAGGTGGGGGGCAGGCCAGGTGGGGCGCAGGAGCCAGGCCTCCCCCCGGAGCTCCAAATTTCCCAAGGGTTCCAGAGCCAGAGTCCAGGCCAGGCCATAGAAGCCAGAGCTGACCCATCCTGTGTCCTCCCAATTCACTACCCAAGCAGGACGTCACACGCCAGGTCCTTATGCTGTCCCTAGACTGTCATCGTACAACCACTAACCTCACCCCCACCCAAGAACACCACCTCCGCCTCCACCTCCACCAGCATCACGAGGGACCTGCTCAGATCCATGTGGGGGAGACCTGCATCCAGGGAGAGGAACGCATGAGGTCACTGGCCGGGAAGGGCATGCCATACGAGGCCAGGTGAGGGGATGGGGCGGGGGCTCAGTAGAGCTGGGGAGGAGGAGGCAGGGTGGGAATGATCGGGAGATGAAGTCCTCTGCTGGCCTTGGCACTGCTTGGGCCCAAGAGGGAGCCAGGAGGGAGGGGACCCAGGAGGCCTGGCCAGCCTCTGCGGGGTCAGTGGGCCCACTGTGGGCCCACCAAGAGAGGAGCCCAGCAGCAGGGCCGGGTTTGGGCCAGACCCCTTGATGAGCGTGGTGTGGACCCCCGAGTCTGCCCTCCACAGCCCTTGGGTGGGGGGCACACCTAAGGCTCAGGCAGTGGCAGGGGAGCCCAGAGAGAAGGCAGAGGAGCAGGAGAGGGAGGAGGAAAACCAGATGGGGGGCAGCTGGGGAGGGGGCCGCAGGCAGGGTCCCAGAGGAAGCGGGCCAGACAGCTCTGGGGCAGGGGGGCATGGGTGGGCGCCAGGCAGGACTGCTGTGTAATGGGCATGCTGAGATGAAGCCGCTCACGCCCTCATCAGACAGGCCGCAGGCCGGTGGGGCAGGTGACAGGCACCGACCAGCCACAGTTCGCTAGTTCTCCGTGTCCAGCAGGCCGCAGGGAAACGCAGCCACGCCACCACCCAGGCCCTCGGGGTCCCCCAGTAGCCGGGCTCCAGAGCCTCCCCTGGGCTGAGTCCAAGCTCATGGAGGCCCAGCCAGTGTCCCCTGAGGGTCCCCCCGTTCTCCGGGCCTTTGCCCTCAGTGCTCCTTCTGCCCGACAGGGCCTGGTGTCAGGTCTGCTCATGCTCTGCCTGTCTCCCTGCGGGGCGTCAAACAAGCCCCTCCTCTCTCGGTGCCTCAGGGCTCCCCTCGCAGAGGGCTGCCAATGGCCAGAGCAGAAGAGGCTCAAAGGACAGTGGAGCTGCAACAGGAGGCCGGAGCTCAGAGGGTGGTGCCCTGGCCCTCCTGGCACCGCTGCCCCCTGGCTCAGGGATGGGCTGGGAGGCAAGGAACCGCTCTGGGGACCCCTGTTTCCTGGACTTCCTTCACAAAGGGGAAACTGAGGCAGGGGGAGGCTTTGGTCCTCTGCCTCAGCCCCCCAGCACTCGGAACCCTGTGGGGGACATGGCCGCTGCCAACTCCCGGCCCTGGACACAATGACATGCCCAGCCCGGGTCCCAGCGCATCGCTGGTCCCGGTGCAGTTCCCTGGAACTGGGGGTCTAAGTGTGGACACACTGGCCAGTGGGGCGCCTGTCACCCCATGGACAGCCGGGTGGGCTGCTGATAAGGAGAGACGGTTGTCAGAGTCACGGGGTGCCACTGATAAAACAGACAAGCATCTCCCGGTGGCCGGAAGGTAGTGGAAAGAGGCCCTGTCCTGGGGGTGCCCACATCTCGGGTGGAAACACTGAGGCTGCTGGTTCTGGACAGGGTCCCCCCAACTGTTCTCCCAGCCAGCAGCCCTCACCAAGGCATCCGGGCCGCTGCTGTTCACGGTGCAGCGGGGGGAGACCCTGACCTGGAGAGGAAGGGCCAGGCCTGAGGTCACCTTGCAGGACCTTCTGCCAGGCCAACTGCCCCACCCTGCCCCCACTTCCCCTGCCCGCTCACCAGGCCCACCGCAGCCCTAGAGAGCTCCAAACAAGCTCCTCGGGGCTCCCTTGCCTCGGGGCAGCCTCTTCCCTCCGCCACACCTTAGCTCACGCCATGCCGTGCGTCTGCCCAGAGCTCCTGTCCCACCATTCTCCTCTCTGCTCATTCTTCCAGGCCCAGCTTGCCCCTAAAAGAGCAACGATCCGGCGGGCTGCGAGGCCTGGGTCCATCGCGCCGCGCCGCGTGGGGCCGCTCGGAGTGGAGGCCGCCTGGGGGCGGGCGGGCTGGAGGCGCAGGTACATGTGAAGATTTCTTGGCAGCTTAGTGTGGAAACCATTGATCACCTTGCCGTCATTTCTGCCTGTTCTGTGTCAGCAAGAGAGAGTGCCCAAATGAGCAAGATAGCCCAGCGGAACAGTACTCCGGGAATAAGTGTTATTCATACTCAGGCTCATGCTGGCGGCTTACAGCAGGTTCCTCAGCTGGTGCCTGCTGGCCCCGGGGGAGGAGGCAAAGCCGTGCCCCCAAGCAAGCAAAGCAAAAAGAGTTCGCCCATGGATCACAACAGTGATGAGTATCGTCAGCACAGAGAGAGGAACAACATGGCTGTGAAAAAGAGCCGGTTGAAAAGCAAGCAGAAAGCACAGGATACACTGCAGAGAGTGAATCAGCTCAAAGAAGAGAATGAACGTTTGGAAGCAAAAAATAAATTGCTGACTAAGGAATTAAGTGTATTGAAAGATTTGTTTCTTGAGCACGCACACAACCTTGCAGATAACGTGCAACCCACTAGCACTGAAAATACAACTTCTGATAATGCAGGACAGTAGACCTCACCCCTTCCAAACTTCACAACTTGTGGCTTGAACGTTAAAGGTGTGACTACCTACATCACTCATATCAATGGCCGAACATTGTCTTGTTCCATTATTCAAAGACCCACTGAAGGTTGTTTTCTAGGATCAGCACTGAAGAGTTGATTAGCTAAAAATGTTAGCCATGTACTTTGAATATCTAGTTTTAAATGATACGGATTTTTTTGTGGGGATAAAACCAATTTTTGAGGTATATGGTAAAAAAAAAAAAAAAAAAGCCCTGGACCTTGATATTCTTAATAAATCCTCACTTCCCAAAAAAAAAAAAAAAGAGCAATGATCCAGCCAAAAAGAGAGGATTCTGGGATGCGGGGGCTGTTACAGAGTGGGGTGGGCATGGCAGGGTGTGCCACACGCTTTCTCTCGCGAATCCTCACCCTCATTTCCCCTAGGTGACTGAGGCACCTTCCCAGATGGTGCCATTGCCTCCCAAGACAATTCCTGCATCTTTTTGTCCTCATTCTCTGTGCACTATGGCTGTACCTACTTCATAGGTATGAGGGAGGAGACTCAGGGAGGGGACAGTCCCTCAGCAGGTCATAGGCACAGAAGCCCAGGTCTCACTGGTTCCAGGATCCCAGGCAGGGTTCCTCCACACCTCCAAAATGTGGGGGTGGTGGGGGCTGGGCATGTCACTGGGTTCTTTTTCTGGAGCCCCTGGGAACAAGGCCCTGTTTTCCAGCTGGGATTGCTGACTTGGTTGATATTAATTTGAAGCTGCTATTATCATCCTGTCACCATGAAGGGAGTGAAGTTTACACCACAAAAGAGGGACATCTACACTGAGGAAGACTGACAGAGAGATGAAGAGAAACAGATTCCTGAAGGCATCCACTGAGCACCTGGATCCAGCTATGCCTGAAGCCTATCCTCTCGTTTATGTGAGGCAATAAATTCTCTTTGATGCTGAAGGCTGTTGCAGTTGGGTTGCTGTCTATGACTCATAAAGTGCACATGAGCAGGATCAGTCAGCAGTGACTCTCGCCAGTCTGGGACATGCTCTGGGTCCTGGGCCCAGTTGCAGACATACAGGAGCCCATGTATGCCCATGTGTACCCATGGATCCCAGTCCTGCCCTCTCTGGGAGTCTTCCCATAGCCAATACTCACATCTCAGCTGTGGGGCTTTGGGCACCCCCCAGCCCTTACCCCCACCACACACACACAATTGCCCCCCGGCCTGGGATGCTCTACCAGCCACATCTGCCCGCCTCCCTCAGCAGCCCAGCAGGGTGCAGCACAAATCAGCACCCTGGCTCTGGATGGATTCCCACGGCTGCCCACCCACTGTGCCCCCGGAGCCCTGGCTCGTCAACGCCAACGGAGCACACCACTACAGTGGCTGGGGTGGGCTCTTGTCTCTTCCACACGACCCTGACATTTAAAAAATTTTTACTGCCAGCATTTTCGAAAGGCAGATTTCATATAAAAATATACTGATTTTTGCCACTTACTAACCGTGACCTTGAGCTACTTACTCGTGCCTGTGTTCCCATCCGAAAGCTGGTGATAGCAAGAGCGGCCCTCTGTCTCACACCCTCCTTGGCAGGTCCCATGGAGTCAGCCTCAGCACCTACCCAGAGTCAGTCCCTCCTCACCCTACGCCAGTGGCTCGGACACAGGCCCGCACCTCTCACTGGTCCCCTGCTCTGCCCTCCCTCCTGTGGTCTGCTTTCACGCCAGCCAGAGGACGGCCAGAGGACTGCTGTTCACACCTGTCATAAGCCTTTCTCCTGTGGAAAACCCTCCCAGAGCTCCACTGCCCTCAGGGTAAAGCTTACACGCCTGCCCTGTGACCTCCTGGACCTCCTGTCCTATTACCCTCCCCACACCCACTTCTCCAGCTCCACTGGCCTTGCACCTCAGGGCCTTTGCACCTGCTGTTCCCTCCCCCTGCTCAGTGAGGCCCTGTCTGGGTACCTCTGTAAAGGTCACCCCCTAGACTCCCCATCCCTCCTTTAGTGTTCTCCCTAATGATTACTACCTTCTAACACACCAAATATCTTGCTTATTTACCTCCCTTGTTGTCAGCGTCCCCCACGGGAACATGAGCTCCAGAGACAGAAGTTTCTGTGCGTTTGTTCACCACCATCCCCAGCGCTTGGCGCAGCACCTAGAGCCCGTGGCCGGGTGCCCCACCCTCGTGCATTCGTGGCTGCCGGGGATTGGATGGGTTAGTCCCTATCGAATCCCCATGGGGCCCTGCCATGGAGCACATCCCCGGAAATGGAGCTGGTTCCGTCGCTGCTGTTTTTACTGGCCTGGCCTGTGTGTCCCCGGCAACCTTGACCTTCGGGGGTGGGTCATGTGGGGATGGCCCCAGGAAACACCAGCAGGAGAGGGAGTGAGTGAGGGAAGAGCAGGTACCAATAAAGTTGTGTCCTCACGAATCACCGGGCTGGGCTCTGAAAGTGAGGATGTGCCCCTGAGGAGTTGCTCCCCCAGAGCCAGGGAGCCACCCACTGCCCATCAGGGTTGCTCTCCGTCCCAGCACTGCTGCCCTGCAGGAAGTGGGGTGGTGGCCCTCCCACCTCGTCCCCTACTCCCCCTCCTTAACTCCCCACGGCCCCTTCCTTGCTGCTGTCACCCACGTGGGCCTCTCCTGCCTTAGGACCAGTCGTTCTTCCTGCCAGGGGCGCCCTTCTGCCCGACATTGCCCCACTGGCTCCTCTCCACTCAGGTGTCATCTCAGAAGGGACCAGTGACCTCCCTCTCATCCACGGCCCCTCTTTAGTTACCTGCAGGGCTCTTTCTCATTGGTTCCCTGGTTATCGCAGCGCGCCCCCACAAGAGCATGAGGCTCCTGGCCGCACGGGCCTGTCTCTGCTTCACTGCTACATCCAGTGAACAGAGGCCAGAACAGAGCCTGGCACACAGTAGGTGCCCCATAAGTGCTGGCTGACTCTGTTGGGAGAATGCGTGAGGCCAGCCTTCACAGCAAGCTCATCAGTGGGAGGCATGACCTGGGGGGGGCCGCCCTTGGCTGATGCAGGCCTTGCATGGGGCCCTAAGTGCACTCAGAGTTGGTCCCCAGGCCTTCTTGAGGGGACGGGAGCCCCCCAGGATCACAGAGAAAGGTCCTTGAGTTGGAGAAGACGGAAGACAGAAATGGAATCAGACAGTCACAGCCACAACCCCTACCCCACCCCCACCCCACACTGGCCCTCAGCCCGTCCCTCCCCCTCCCCGGGCAAACCTGGTAAGTGCAGTTCGGAAGCTGCTGGTTAAGACCACAGATCCCTGAGCAAATATGTTAATAGTTGCCCAGAGGCTGAGCTATGAACGAGGACTGGTGAACCTGGGAGGGGGTGTGTGCAGGGAGGTCTCCGCCTGACCACTGGGCCGTCCTGAATAGGCCAGGTTTGTAGGGGCATCTGCACAACTCAGTGTGTACTGGAGCTGGGGCAGACGCAAGGCTGGGGCACCCGTGGGGAGGCCTGCACACCCGTGCGCCTGGCAGCCCGGGTCACCTGCACAGGGGTGTCTGAGCCCATCTCTGGGCCAGGCCACGTGCATACATCCGTGTGAAGGCACAGGCAGGTGCTCTCTGGTACACACTGGGTGATTCTGGAGCATGCAGAGGTGTGGGTGAATCTTGCACACGGTGTCCGCAAAGCCGCGTGCATGGGTTTTGGGGAGTCTGTGTGCAGGTGTGTGGTGTACGTGTGTGAGGCTGTGCACACGTGTGTCCCTCACACCCAGCCTGAATGAGGCCTAGAGGGCCTTAGAGTCAGCCAGACGTGGTTCCCGATCCTGCCCACTCTGACTATCATCCTCTCCAGCGAGCTTTCCTGAAACACGGGATCTTATCATCGCTGCCTCGGGGCTGCTGCAAGACTTCGGAAGGCCACACGCGTAGGCACCGAGTCGAGGGTTACTTCACGGCCTTTGCCATCCCCTCCCTTTACCTTGCCCTTCCCCACCCCATATCTGGGCCCCGAGACCAGGCGACACCTGTGGCCCTCCCCCATGACATCCCGGGCAGCCGTGGACTTCATCCCGTACAAAGTAAAGCAACAAGAAAATGCCATTTTGCATTGATCAAACTGGTAAAAACGGGAAAGTCTGATTATAGCGTGTGGGTGAAGAGGTGGGGTGATGGGAACGCTTACCCGTGATCCTAGGAGAGGACATCCGCACCGCCGCTGCCGCATCGAGTAACTGTAACACGCTAGTGCCCGGTGGGCGGGACCACACACCCGTGTGCGTGCACAAGGAGGAAGAGCAGGGAAAGCAAACTACATACTCATCGGCGTGGACTGGCCCCCCGGACAGCGGTGGGTGGCATAGGGTGGAATGAATTCCAAGAATCCTGTGGCTCGATCCCCAAACACATGAGAAGTTGCAATAGGACACCTGTGGACTGAGCCGCTCGCCGCTTAAAAGAAATGCCGTAAAGCAGTACGCCGTGTGCCCGGCGGACACAGGTCTACGTGTTCAAGTGCATGGAGAAAGGTGAGCAAGGACGCACTCCAAACTGACAACTAACTGGTGGCTGTCCCTAAGAGGCCGCTGGAAAGGGCACTCCAGCCTTACCTTTTAGGTTTTCATTTTGCTCAAAGAGATCATGTGGTGTATTAGCCATGAATTAAAGAGGAACGAGGGACAGAGCTCTGTGAGGCCCGAGGTGTGGCGGTCAGGGGAGTCACGCAGGCTCCTTGTCACACACACCACGTGGCCCTGTTATCCTGAAGACCAGCTCTCCGGGCAGTCCTGAGTCTGAAGGATGAGGCCCCAACACTCCTCTGTGGCTGCCCCGATTCCCTGCTGGACCCTGCCCCCAGGTTCACCTGGAGCAGCACCGGCCCTGAAGGCCCAGGCGTCTCCCTGGCCCCAGATCTTTGGGGTCCCCACTGCCCCCACCCCATTTCAGGACCCCCACCCAAATCCCCAAGCACAGAGCTCACCGTGACTCTGGACTGGAAGGGTGGCCTGGGATGTTGTGACCTGTGGGGCCAGGGATGGTCACTCTGGGTGAGTGTGGGCCCCAGGGAGATGCGGCCAGGCCAATAACTCACCCTACCCTCACAGCTGCGGCTCTGGGGCCAGGGACTGATCACGGGAGGAGGCCCCAGGGGGCTTGTCAGACCTGGGGGTGCTGGGGGCAGGGGAGGGGCAGCTGAGACCGAGACAGAGACACGGCGAGAGACACACAGAGGAAAAGAGGGAGACAGACACCAAGAGAGACAGAGGAGAGAGAGAGACAAAGAGATAGAGTCCCAGAGGCTCCTAGGCCCTGGAGGAGGGGCAACTGGACAGAGACCAGCTCTGGGAGGAGAGAGAGGTGCGGGGGCGGGGGGGGGGGAGACTGGGGGGGGCACCCCCGGCGGGTTGGTCCTGCTCTGATTGGCTAGGACTGGCTGCAATTAAACCCCATAATTGATTCCCTGGGATGACGAGGATCATTTCAATGCGGAGAATTAAGGTTTTCTTCCAAGATGGAAATAAAGATTAATTTGCAATTTCCTTCCTCACTGCACAGAGGAGAACAGCCCCTGCTGGGAAGAAATCTCAGCCCCGGCAGGTGGGCTGGGGGTGGGGCGGCCTTCGGGGCCTGGACCTGTGCACAGCCCCCGTTGGCAGGGAGAGGGGCTGCCACAGCCCCGAGGGGACAGCCTCCAGGCCTCTGTGCGCCCACCCCGGCCCAGGAGCGGCCCAAATTGCCTTTCTCGGACTCGGGGCCTCTCTGAGCCTCGGGCTTCTGGCTCTGCGATGGTGCTGTGGGGCCTGGAAGGCCTTAGCCCACCTTTGAAGAGCACCTCTACTCCCTGCTTCAAAGCAGGCTGGTGTGCATTGTGACTCATTGGTCCCCAGCAGGGTCTGGTGTCCAGACAGCCACAGAGAGACTGGGTAGGAGAGTCCCTGAGGGGGGGAGGGGGAAGCCCCACACCCCCCTTCTCCCTGG